AATGACCTAATTATTTCAAAATCGGTTCAATCCGAGCTCAAATGAGCCTAAATCAATGGCTTGAAGCTTATTTGGAAGCTTAAGAATATTAATTAGGCGACTAAATGATATGAAAATATAACGTTCTTATATTTGAATCGAGCGCATTGACGAAACGAATCCAACGAGTACAATATTGTTTATTTCTTAAATCATCAAGGCACTTAAATGCTTGACGAATGTTCCATAGTCAAGAGAATCAATTTGGGTTGTACGATAGAGCACTCCTAATTTGTCATGGATCTTCTCCATATTTATAGAGCATGCCACTTTTAAAATCTATAAATATAACCTCACTCTTTACATGAGAGAGACTTTTAGAGGGAATCAATATGTTGAGAGTGTGGTATGAATTTGGATACTCTGAAGGGCGTGATAGAAAATACGTCTTAATCTTAATGTGGGTCCATTTAGCCTCTATTGCCACTTTGTCCGATTGTGAGAAGCGAAAGGGGTGCACATGGCATTAGTTTTCACCATTATGAGCAACTATTTGCTCCCTTTGGTCCAAGTGTCGATGTCCGAGTAATATCATACACGTGAGGTGTACGTCTGATCCACACATGTTGCAACTCCCCCGCATTTTTAGGCACATGTGAGGCCGAGGTTTGTTACGCTGCAAGCTCTAGCCCCACTTTCCTTCGATGGTGTGATCAAGGGTGGATAAAATAGAGAAATAAATACGTTTAGCCTAAAAAAAAGTAATGAATAAATATGTACTGTCCAAATAAATGTAAATTTTATTGAGTATATCACATAAATTTATAATTGTTGTTTGTTTAAATATTTATATAATAGCAATGAATAAAAATCTTATGTGTATATAAATAAATTGAGAGCAATTCTTAAGATGAGATATTTTTTACATTATAAAAAATATGAAGGGAATAATTTTGATGTTTGGTATAGTTGAAATGAGTGCACCAATGTGAATCAAATAATTTAAATGAATCAATATAACAAATTTGAATGGTTAAAGTGTTCTATTGTGGCAGTAGGAGTTTTCAGATATCTTAGTTATCATGAATGATGATTACTAAGATATTTTTCTTTCAATTTAGTATTTAACTAGAGCTTATCAATTTCTTATGAATAAGAAAAAGAATTATGTATGATGTATGAAGCGTCATATCATAAGATCATTACTTTACTTAAAATCGTATAAAATTATTTAATGAGCACATAGCCTAGCAAGTAATTGAAATCTTACAATTAAAATTAATATAAGGTAAAATAGAATAATATACTGTAAAACATAAAAAGAAATATATACATCAATGCATATATATTGGTTATATGTATCAATAATCAGTCTATAATATATCAAATCTCAGTTAGTTCTGTTTCATTCTTCAATCACAAACTCTAATCAATCAGTTAGTTAGTCGATCTTTATCACTCAATTAATTCCATTCAATCTTATCATCCATTCAGCTCACATCAATCTGTCAATTATAGTCCTAGTATCAATAATAATATTAATATCAGTAATAGAACTATATTAGTAATAATATAAGTATTCTCAGTGTCAGTCATAATAATGATAATATTAATCAATAATAATAATCAATAACAATGATTAATATCCGTACAATATGAGTAATAATATTGAGATATTCATAAGAGAATATCTTGCTCGAGCACTTATTACTCTCAATCAATGTGCTCCTTATAACTTCCCTTGAATCATGTGAATCAATTGCCCCGACTCATTATAACTCTCAATCAATCTCCAACTTCTTATGACTCATATCCGCTGACTACCGTTAGTGGACCAAGTGAATCTTGAGGATATCATATGAGATTATCATATCATATACATGATATCAATCAGTACATAATATCCATACATCATATTAGATTCAAACTAGTAGTAAACATTCTTGCATAACAATCATATCAATCATTTTAGTATATATTACCTTATAGTTTTATCTTATCAATTCATAATATAATACTTTTCAACCCATTTTCAATATATTTTTTCCATATGCATTTTACATAAAAAATTCTATACACATTTTTAACAAATGAAAATATAATAAAATCATATGATATTATTTAGAATGATCAAATCTATTACACTTCAAAAGTTATAAGGTAAAATGTTATAAAATTATAAGATAATATATTTATAACAAATTTAGGAGACATAAAACATGTAATCAAAATCATCGAAAATATGAGCAAGAAAGTAGTTACTTATACAAAATTGAACAAAATATATAACAAAAATGATGGGAAAATATGACACAAAGACCATTCTCCCTCCTTTCTCTTCTTCTCCTCCTTCAATTTCTTCCTGACCAAGAAATCAAGTGAGGGAGTCTGTGGAGTGAGGTAGGGATATCCCTCGCAGCTTTAGCGTCACAGCGCTCACCAGATTAGCGCCAAAGCTCTAATTAAAAAATTTTATATGTTTCAAATAAATTTATTTCATATTTTTAGGTTATTACAAGGGGTCAGGACTCTATGGAGTGAGGTGGACTGATCTTCAAATTTCTTCTTTTATTTTAAATTTAGTGATCTCTTGACTATTATAAATGTAATATTGGAGTATGAATTATTGCAATGTGAATGATATTTAATTGCTTTTGTTGGATATGTTGATTTATATTTATGATTAATAGAAGCTTTGGTAGATGATTAAAAAAATAAATTAGACAATTCTTTCAATTTAGATATTGGGCATGACAAGTCAAAGTAACCATGCATGTGAATCCCCCCACACTCACTTGACTCCCTCAAAGCTCTTCTCCCTCTCTCAACCTCTCATCCGATCCTCTCTCCTTTCTGAAGTGGTCTCTCTACACGCTCTCTCATAAAGGAAAATGACCTTGATTTGCCCAAAGACACTTGATACATAATATAAAAAGTTTTTATAAAGAGGGCTAAAAAACCCCTAATTTTTAATTTTAGGTATTCTGATCATCGTACAACACGATGTATATACTGTATAATATGATGAACAAATCATACAATATGATGTAAATTATAAAAAACGTTTGAACTTGATACTCCAAGGCTATCATCATCACAAATGAGACAAGGACATTAATGCCACTATAACTTATAATAATTACAATGAAATGATACATTGGATGCCAATAAAGATCTCATCATTACATATGACATTGATCTCACATATATAGAATAAAAATATAAAAATCTCATATGAAATAAAGACATAAAAGTTTATCATTCATTTAAAGAAATATGATGACATGAATAACCTTTTCCCTTAGTTTTACCAACAACTCAATTTGTCAGTTTGATTCTAAGTGATTGACAGCCAGAAATATAGAACCTTGGTGAAAATGCCATGTGCTGAACAATTATACTCAGAGATTTGATGCATGCAGTCCCTTTATAATGAGTTTTGAAAGTCCGAATCATCATCTTCTCCATATGAAAAACGCATTAGATTCCAACCAGCTAGTCGACAAGTACGTGAAAAACGCAAAATAACTTCGCAGCTCAAAGTGGACTGCAAGTGGCACCTTACAGACTACACATCTAGCTGTTAGCTTTACATATGAACAATTTATCACTGCTCATCATCTACAGCATAAAGTTTTTAAGGAAAATGCAGTATAGAGAAAGGATGTACAGCTTTTTTAATATTTCTTAAAGCAGCTTCTTTTAAAAAGCTGCTTTAAGAAGCAATAAGAAAGTCATCCTAAACAAAGCCCAAGTCTCAAACAAAAGAGTATGCTGGGAGCCTAAGCAGTCAAGCTTCGTTTGAGATAGCAATCTTATTGCTTCTTAAAACAGCTTTTTAAAAAATCACTTTAAGAAGCAGTAAGAAAGCTGTCCCAACCGAAGCCTCAGTGACAAGAATGAGATGAGCTGCTTCCCTATTCGTCACGTACTATTTCCAAACTTCATGCACATGGTTTATTCACCAGAAAGCAAGACAGTGTAATCTAAGGTGTTTGGATTCTAAGTGTCATATCTAGAAAAAAGTGCAAGACACTTTGTCAATATATTTAGATTCATGGCTCTATCTTATTGTATACGACTAGCTAACAAACCAAGCAACCTAGTTTAATACTTTTTTAATACTTTAAGTTTGAAAAGTATAAGATTCTCTTATAGAAGGCAATGACAAGTTTTTCTTATGATTATTTGCTGCTATTGTGTCTTATTTAGGCTGTCCTAATCAATTTGAAAACATTATTACATTGTGTTTTTTAGAGATTTTACAAGTCTAGGAGGTTGTCAATTTGTTTGTGATAATTATATAATTTTTTTATTTTTAAATCATAATTATAATCGTGTTTGATTACTATTTTTTTATTACTTTCAATAAATATCGGTGTTGAAAGTTTACAAGAGTTTAAAAATTATTTTTTCATAACAGCTTTACATTTATTTTTATAAAAAATTATAATTGTCTTAAATAGATCTTAAAATATTATATATCTAAGTACAAAATTAGATGATCTTAAATGTAAAATATCTAAAATTTGTATGATTTTGGATGCTAAATTATTTTGTTGCATATTTTATTTTTTTAAAATTTTCTTAAGCTATTGTTATTGTTTTGTTGAGTCTTAAAAGCATATTTTATTTAATGATCAGCAGTTCTTCACTATCTATCACAAAGAGGGTATGATATTTGGATATAAATTGGGATATTTATTTTTCTTTTGGAGGCATTATGTATCTTAAGCCATCGGAAAGAGAAATTATTCTGTGCGGAGTTCGGATCTAGCACGTTATCCAGAGATCAACCAGAATGTGTCACGTCAGCGATACCGAGTAGTATCGAGCCGCGATACCGAGTACAAGATGACGTGTCACATTTTAATTGGTCTCCGGATGATGTTAGACATCAACACAGAATAATTAATCCATCTAAAATTTATTTATGAGAATATATTGGGCCCAAAAAAAGCCCAGCACACAATTAAAAAAAAAAGTAAAGTTTTTTTCCATCATAAAATTCCATAAAGAAATATATATTTCTTTTTGACGTGGCCTTAACAAAATTTAATTCAGAAGGCAGCCATGCCTTTGTGCTTAACCACACATCAGTTTAAAAGCGTGGGGGCTCATTGTGTTCACGGCTCAGATTTCGGAACCGTGGGAAAACAGAGGCGACCGTTGTACGGATGCTTTGATCGAGTGTGTGGGGCTGCACGCTAAGTGTTTGTAGAAATTCCTGAACGACTGTTGTCTTCTGGATTGCAAGAGTATTTATTTCGCTAGGCGATGAAGGAACTTGAGGCCAACTTGAGATTGCTAGAAGAGGCTACTGCAGGTCTTTCTGACCTGGTCTCTTATATATTGGTGGAATCTTATGCTTGCTCTAGTTACTCATATTTCTTTTCATAACGTCAGAGCACAGCCATGCGATTTCTCTTGATCATGCGGCTCAGTCATATTATGTTTATGCAATTGGATTGCTTTTATGCTCTTCGAACTGGCTCTGCTACTACCGGCCTCGAGTTTAAACTATTAGCACTCATACAAAGCCGGCTGAAATACTAGAATCCTAGAGGACTACTACTCTTCACTACCACAGTACCCGGTCACTAGTCCACATGTGCTCTGTGGTCTTGCTCTGCTACAACGGCAGCACAATTCTTCTTAACCAACTTGTCCTTTAGCTCTATATATATACTCTTACAAGCACTGTAACTGATAGATAAGACTATACAAAGTTACTATCAATCTGCGCTTCTTCTATCTTATTTCGCTGCTCTTTATCTGATATTCTTCATGGAAACAAGGCAATAAGCTTCACAGCTTCTTCTTCCCAGCTCAATGGCAGATCAAGACTCCTCAAGCACTCAATCTGCTTCATCTCTCTCTGCTTCCATGGCAGAATATACCATACACTTGCCACTTAAATTCCTTATGTCCAATATTAAACTCATTGTTAATATCCAGCTCAACAACGATAACTATTCCAATATTAAACTCATTGTTAATATCTAGCTCAACAACGATAACTATTCCATCTGGCGACTCCAAGTATACAAACACTTTTTGGCAAATGGATTTGAATCGTATTTGACCGGACGCCTCATTTACCCTCCTAAGCCTACCTCGTCATTCGCCAGTACCAACTCTACGACCACTGATTATCGTCTATGGCACCTCATCCATCAAAATCTGGTTCATCTTTATTCTCCATAGTATCTCCCTCCATTCTACCATACATTCTCAATCGCACCATAACCCATAAAATTTGGACTACCCTTGAGAAAAGGCTTCTACTGACCAATAGATGTTGGGTGATACAACTTAAAAATGATATGCATCACATACAAATGTGATACAATAACATGAATCAATACATTGCTCAAATCAAGGCTCTAGTGGACAACATAGCAGCAACAAACTCTCACGTAGATGTCGAGGATATAATCCTATACACCATCTACATACAACTCCTTTAAGACATTAATTCGGACCTTTCTTAATCCCATTAACCTAGACGTGCTTTACTCACTGCTTTGTAGTGTGGAGATCAATCTACAGCATGAATTCCTAAAGGACTCAACTAATCCGAAGGAAAATCTGGCATTGTGCTCAAACAAGAGTAGCTTAACTAAAGGTTGAAACTTCTACTCCAGCTAGCCTCGCCCTTCTCGTGGTCTTGGAATCTCTCCCAAACCGACAAATTGTGCCCTCCTCTCACATCAACAACAAAACTCACCTACAAAATTGGTGCTTGACTCCGGTGCATCAATGCATCTGTCAACAGGTGAAACCAATCTTCTACAATCCTTTCCTTACCATGGTATAGACAATATTTAAATCGCCAATGGTTTTTTCTTATCTATCCATCACAGTGGGCAAGGCATTCTGCCTCTCCTGAACTCCACCTATAAGCTATTTCTTCACAATCTACTGCATGTTTTTTCTCTGTCTCTCAACCTTCTTTATGAACACAAGCTTACTGTGGGCTCTGAAAATTCGAGCATCAACCTTTTTGCGGCACCTTTCTTTTTTGGGTTATCAATAAGTTTTAACGAGTAAGTTATGAGGTAAATTTTCAGACGGTAAATTGGGTTTTAGATAAGACATTACCCAGAGATTTTGCCCTCATTTTGCGAGGACTTTATGATTAGAGTTCATGTTTCCTATAGGCGCAAGTCCCTATAGTTAATTACCCCTCCCTATAAAGAGAGAGAACTTTTGATTAAGACTAGTCGTCAAATAGATACGTAGTATCTGGCATATATTAGCACCTTGTTTCTGTATTTCAAAATTTACCATTTTAAATTATAAATTCACCAAATTATTATTTTTAGATCATTATCATTAATTCATTCCAAACTCCATTCATAGTAATACTTTTACCTTATAGATTTTTTGTTGTTCTTACATGCTATCAATGATTCCAAATACATTATAAGATATACTAACATAGCATCTATACACTCTTTTAATACATAAAACTATAAAATTTGATTTTGTTAAAACCACTCTTGAGCATGAACTCATCGAAATCTTTATTTTTTTTTTCATTTTTAGGGGATAATTTTAATCCTTATTGGGATTTTCTTAACAAACAAGCATGATTGTCTTCTCCACTTGAACAAAATTATGAAGGTGTTGTATATAGATCAACTATAAGTTCATTGGGAATGATAATAGACCCGATCAAGATCCCAGGTTATTATGATCCTTGATCTACTTAGACAGAGGAGTTAGTCGACCCAACTTGACAGAAGGATCATTGTCTGCATCCATGGGTTGCTTCGTAGTCCAACATATTCTAGAATCAACTTAAGTCATGTACATAAGCTATACAGGGACGACTAAATGAAGGATTGACATTTTTTAAAGAAAATTGAGATTAACTTGAATTAATCCAAGATAAGTAATACATCATATAGCTATGATTACCTTTTATACTTTGTAAGTTTATAAATATTATTTTTTTGAAGAAATGCAAATTGCATTAAAAAAGAAATAACTATTACAAACTAGAACGCAAAGATAAGTCCTTTAAAACTATCATAATGAATATGCGATCTACTAAATTCTATTTTAAATCCATTGGAGTGATGGGGACACCAAATATTAAATAACCTAAAAGGTTGATTAGTATCCCAGAGTTCCCAAGAGATGAAAAATGAAACCTAGTAAAAATCCCACATTTCATTACAATAACTTCACAAAGGACAGAAAACCCTACAAGAAAAAAAAAAACAAACTACAAAAAGAAAATGAGCAACTAAATCAGTTGTCAAAACACCACAGTAACCATCTTCAACATCTTTAGAGGCCAACGAGCTCCAATCAAGAGATGAATCCGCTGAAACCTCAACACATCTAATAACAACCATCATGGATGAACAAAGCAAATTCGATGAAGCAATAACACCGACAACCACCTCAAGAGGCCAATAATCGGTCTCATCATTGCCAAAGCCAACCGAACTGATAATCATCACCACTCTCATCACATTGATAAGAGAAAAATAAAAAAACTTCAAACCCTTCAAGTCTTTAACCAATAAGACTTGTTCTTCAAAGAACAACTGAAAATCAAGAGACCAAACAACCACCTCGTCATTACAGACATCAACCAACAAACTTATCAACTTAGTCGATCCACTGGCAGACAAGAACTTTAAAGTCTCCATTCCCTTCCAGTCTTCAACAATCATGCCAAGATCTTCAAAGATCAAATTAATAGCATCCATTAGCTTAGTTGGGATATGGTCCCACCTAAATACTTCAACAATGCGTCCAACAACAAACACTTTAGATGATCCAAACAAAGTTGCCGAAGCAATAACAACCGCTCCAACATCAATAGGCCAAGAAACGACCTCAAACAAGACTTGATCCTCATAGATCAAAGAAGTAACTTTGGCATTACCAAATAACTCCTTTTAAATAGCTGCATAACCAGCAGCAATCATACCAAAACTGTGTTTGTCCACAACCGACGACATCAAATTAATCAACAGGACTGTATTGACTCCAAGAATCTTCAAGAATCCAAATGAAACCGGTTCTTTAATATAGAAAGAACCACCTTTACAATCCAAACATCCATACATCAACCGTCTCATAAACATAAAACGAGGACACATCAAGAACACGTTCAAACTAATTATGGAATCAAGAAAATCCATAAACCACAGCAAACCCGAACTCCAATTATCACACATAATAACGAATTTTGCCCTAGCACAAAATTCGTTCCAAGAAATGTTGTAGATAACGAAGAACCAAAACAAACTCCTCCAAAAGCACCTTCAGATTTGAAGTCTCACAAAATTCAATCAACAATCTAATATTAGTAGCCTAGTAGGATAACCACATCCCACACAATCGGAAGCCAAACCAAACCAACGGAGTTCCATCGACATGCAAAAATCAGCAAGAAAATGATTTCAAATCAGTAGATACACAAAAATCATTGGTCCAAAGGAGAACCTCTACCGGACAAATCTTCATCAAAATTGCATCTCTGCACAAAACACCTTTAGCTAATCGAAAATTTAAGATGCCAAAGCCGCACCAAGGTGCTCCGTTGGCCATATCAGGCCGACGGAGAACCACTGGATGCCAAAGATCCTCGAAAATTGCCAAGAATCGCTTCTCCATCAAGATCACCCACTTTGTCAAGATCGCCCGCTCGCTCACAAGGTTATAACTATTAGGATGTAAGATTTTGAAGCATAATATTGAAAAAAATCATTTTAGCAAAATTCAAGATTTGTACATGAGCTACATACATAATCAATGTAATCCTTTGTGTGGAAAAATCACCACTATCAATGAATAATTCTTTGGTCTACATAATGATTGTTGATGTAGATCAAATCGTGCCCCCTACTCCTTGAATGACTCTTTCGCTTGATGTTCTTGTGGGTCTCTAGCAGGCAACAACAAGATCGCTCCTCATCAAACTGTGTTTGGTCTTAGTTTGATGTTAGGTATTTACTAGTCAAGCATGAATCATATGTTGAGATATTTCTTGGGCTTCTTGTGTGAATGATTGATAATGAATCGAGTGATTTATTAGATATTGACTTCATATCCATATAGGAATCACACTGTGCGGTAGGTATCAAAGTTTTTATGTGGGAGTTTGAAATTTTGTTATGTGATGTTTCGTAAGTTATATAGCTATGTATTGGTTGGTGTCTTTATAAGTTGATATATTGAAGCTTAATTTATAGTATAAGCATAAGAAAATCTTAAGTTTTTTTGCAAAAAAGTTCAGAAGGAATTAAGAATAGATAGAAGATGGGTGAGAGAATAGGGGAATGAAGTAGAAAGAAATAT